GTATGGGAAGGGTCATTGAAGACTTTTTTTATTGACTTAGATCGAAGAAAATAGTTTTGTTATCCCCGTCATTGTTGCTCGTCACCAGTGGGGTTATCGAACACGGATAATCCTACACTTATGGGGCATAGGCCACAGGAGAGAGGCTACGGGCTAACGTGTCTGCTCCTTGTTAATCTCTCTTCCCTTGAATTTCGTTGAGGGCCCCATCACTGACCAACCATTGATTTACGCTTCAGTCCGTAGCTACTTCCGTGCTAAAACATTCCGTAAGTGTAGCATTTCCCATCGAACACATAGCACTCTGTGATTGTTAGCCCGGTCAACAACGACGAGTATCTTCTGACGCCGATGAAGCAAAGCTGGTATTTTTTATTGATCCATCCGTAGTGTAAGGCTTGATATATACACTCAGTCACTCACCCCTATGAACACACGCGTGTACACCCTACCCCTGTGATCACCTCTCTTTCATCTGTTCAGAAATTACTTTGTTTCTTACTTTTTGTGAGCAATTGCCAACCTACAAATTGTAAGAGTTATTGTTTTGTTCTCCACTCTTTTATTATTCTTACGTTTTCTTGTTTCTGTTTTTTTAAATGACATCAAAAGCCAAGTCTCTCCTTGGCAGAAATGCTGTTCGTAAGAGTCTATTTAAGCCAATTTTTCATGTGGCAAAAGTTTTCAATTTGAATCACAACTATATGTTTTTAAATGGAGTTGCAACTGCAAGTTTTCACGTACTATGTAATGTTTTTTTTCTTCCTTCTATATTGACCACATGTACTCCCTCCGTTCCTAAATATAAGTCTTTTTAGAGATTTCACTATGAACTACATGCGAAGCAAAACGAGTGAATCTACACTCTGAAATATATATATCTATATATAGTTTGTAGTGGAATCCCTAAAAAGTAGGAACGGAGGGAGTAGTTCTTCTGCATGGTTGGAAAGAAAAGTAGTTCAATGGAGCTTAAGTCTAGTAAAAAAAGGTTGTAGTTTTCTTTTGTGGGATTCACTCTTTAATTCCATAAAGCACGAATTTTTGAAAACGAGGGAGCATCCCTGGCCTAAAAGCAGAGAGATGATGATTAGCAAGGGCCACAACTCACTTTTCGTGGCAATCACAGAGTCACGGAGAAGCCCAAGGATGCATTTCTTTATCTTCCCACCGTGCTTCCATGTGGACCATGTGGATTTTCAAACACTAATCACATCACATGCTGCTCATCACGCTGTACACTAGACCATGCACCATGCCTTCCTTTTCCCCTGCACACTCGACAGGTGTTCCCTGTGTGCATGGAACATATTGTACTACTGTAAAAGAATTGCGCATACAAAGTGAATGTATGCATGTTCATGTTCCACTGGCAAGCCATTACACAGACCAATCATCGCAGCTACCAAAAACCACCTGAGAATGAACAAATGAAATCTGCCCTACAAATACAATACCCATACAGCGTGTTTGGCAGTTTGAGGGAATGGGCATGGGAGTTTTTAAGGGGGGGTTGGCTGAGAGATAAGACATGGGAAGTGGACTACTAGTCCCAGTCCCACGTTTGGGTTGGGATGGGAATTAGTCATGGGAATTTAACAAAAACTTACATTCCTCTGTTTGGTCCAGCGGTGGAGGAATGGGAGTTATTGAGGAGACGTTGAGTATGCACGAACCAGCCTTGCACCTTTTGTCTAGGTTTGCAATGCAACATCAAACAAAATAAAATGACGGTCAGTACAGAAGCCATCAAAACTGGATACAAACAGATTATCCCTTGCATTCAAACTATTTTGCATAGTGGGATATTAAATGTATTCCTTGCAGGAAAAGTTTCTTATTTAAGCAGAATATTGTATGAATCAAGAAGCTATGCCATTCTGAATAAAAATATATGATAAGTGTATAGCTTAGTGGCCTAAATAGGATAGCAATAACCTGCAGGTTATGATAGTTCTGACATCTCCCCGAAAAAAAAGTAAGACAAAAAGAGTACATATAGCTTATCAGTAAAATCAAACTGAATATTGTTGCCGCCATTGCAATGTAATGTGGTATTTATATAACAAACAACAGTTTGTATAGGAGAAGACGATGTACAAATAAAGTGGCAAAAATCAAATATTGTTACTGATGAGTTTTCAAGTAAACAAGTAGTCCCGACCTAAAAATATTAAACTACCAATGCAGAAATGTAAATCTGGATATTCACTTATTTTTTGGCCGCCTCAAGCTCCTAACGAACAAACACCACTTTGTAATCATCACGCAATTGGATGAAAAGTTCGGTCTTTCCAGCTACATCCAGGGATTGTATAATATAACTCATCACCATCCTTGAAACCTACGTCTTTAGCCATGCGAACTAGACGAAAATATGATGTACGCTCACTGTCACAGTCTCGAAAAATAGACACTTCACCACCATCATAAGTAAGTAGTCCTTCAATTGAAAATGAACCCCCATGATGCATTTTGATATGGATCAAATCCCCCTCCATTCTGTATGTATATAAGGCATTAAAATATATGAATCAAATGGTTGCTTATTACATAATTGTGTAATCAATACTAATTGGTACTGATTCTGCAATTCGAAATCCCTGACCCAATACAAATAATTTGACATGATTTTAACATAGTGCAGCAGGAAGAAAGAAGCAATGTACAGCTTAAACTGGTTCTGTGTACTAGCAAACAAGTATGAATTGACAACAACAAGAGCAAGAGTGTTGATTTTCCTAACATATCAGTTCGTATGTAATTTTCTCCAGTGAATACTCACAGCCATGTTCAAGTATATCTCTAATAAAATTGAGATGCTAAGTTGGACAAGTAGACAGGGAGAGAGATAACTCTGAACATAATTCTGAAGATTCAAATGAATAAGTTCATCAGTACCTCTTGTTCTTTGCTTAAGATCTGCAACAGATAAAGTACAAGAATGAATATTGTATGCCTTAATCGGACTATACATGAACATGGAGAAAAGGGAAATTACGAAGGGAATAGATCTGGATCGATTTGTACAGAAAAGTTAAAAGAATCAGATTTGTTTTGGCGCAATCTGATCAGTTGAAGTTCATGAGGGCAAACGAAATAGGCCCCCAATTAGATGGCAGGATTTGGATGAAATTTAGACAACAAATTGATATTGCAAAAGAGCAACGGGATTACCTGAGCTCTTCGCCCCGCCGCCGCCTCACCAGATCGAGATAGGTGGTTAGAGCTCGCTATTCCGCGGGAAAGAGATGACGCACCGGGCTTATTTAGCTGCGATTTCCCGCGCATTACAGAGGATTTCCGCGCGCTTCTTCTTTCCGTGGCTTACGGAGCGGGAGCAACGAACTGGTCGATAGTTTTCTTTCTCTCGCTTCACATTCCCTCGATCAATTACCAGGCCCCCCCGTGGGAAGAAAAAAGGGGTAGTTGGACCTGTAACTCCCTTTCCCCTGCCCTCTTTAATTCCCCTGTCCCCTAGTCAAACAAGGGACTTTAAGTCCTCCACCCTCCCAATTCCCATTCCCTAATAATATTTTCCCCCAAACAAACACGCTGTATAGCTACAACAGGTACGGTACACCAGCAAACCAGATAGGAGTTTGACCACACGGTGACAATCACCATATACTGTATTATACAAGCAAGAGTAATGTGGCACTAATGACTACTGCTAATCACCCACCTAATATTAGACGGCCAATGAACAAATCTGCAACAGGTCTCACCGGGTTGCGCATTCACCGTCACTCGAGCAAAAAAGTAAAATTCCTCTAGTTGTATATGCTTCCCGGGTTGATGAAAGCCACCATTGTCGTTGCTTGAGAAAGAGCTCTAGGTGAATGTCTTGGCGATGGACGAGGTGGTCACCAGGCCCGCGAGCAGACCGACGAAGGTGCCGCTGTTGTAAGTGCTGGACTCTGTCTGCACCGCATTGTCGCGCAAGTCCACGAAAGAGTCATTCTGAAATGGCCCGCCCACAACGGCTCCCGTGGCGACATTCGGGTTCGGGCTGGACGAATGGAGGTACTCGAATCCCTTGCAGCCCGTTTTCGCATCCGCGGGGATGGATGCCCCCCTGTGGTGCACCTGCTGCGGGTAGCTGCTCCCATATCCCACCAGGTAGCTAAGCTTCATTGGGTTGTCACCCAGCACGTAATTTGCCTGACAAAATGACATGGCAGAATAAATCAGATACATACACCCTTCAGTACACATGATGAATGAAAGACAGACGTGGTGTCCCTAACGCGCCCATGGATCATGATAAAATATGCAATTAATCGTCAACAGCAAGATGGTTTACTGAAAACTAGAGATAAAGATATGGCTCGCCGGAATGGCAGTTTGCAAGTTTGTACTTAGTTCACCTGTGATATAGCGAAATTGCGAATATCTGTCGGACTAAAATACTTTCCACTGCACTCCACCGCAGCTGTTTGTGATGTCAGCATGTAGTCGCTGTAAACAACAGCAAGGAATGCTGCATTTATGCCATGCTGCAGAGAATTCCACCCACTTATCCACACCAGTCCTCCTGCAATGGGAATACCATGATCGAGTGAAACTATGGAAGTATGCATGATTGTAATACATATTACAATAAACATATTATGAAATTCTCTACGCAGAGAGGGAACGTGAAAGTCACCCATAAAGCATAAAGCATCCCTACATGGACTCATAAAACCAAATCAACTAACAGAAATTTCAACATACCGCTAGTCCTACTACCAGTGGCTGACGGAGAATCTGGTAGAAGCCCACAAATGACTGCCTCAGCAGTGTCTCTGTACATTTTGAGTCCACTGTTTTCAGCATTAGATATCTCTTTGGATCCAAAGAAATTTACTCTTGACAAAAGGATCTGCACAGAATAGACAAGAGCACTTCAGGTACTTATCCTTGTAAGAAAGAGAGAATTCTAAAGAAACCATGCTGAGGTAATAATTCACACGGTTTAGTTCATGCAAACCTGTGTCCCTGGGAGCTTGTCATCCCAGCTGAACCATGTTGGCCTTCCCCAATCAGCATAATCTTTCCCGTTCTGCACAGTCACATAACTGAGATATGTCTGATCTCCTGTAGCATGATAGAGCCAACTCGCTGCCCAGAGGAGCTCATCGACATAGCCAGTAGAATTATAGTACTTCTGAAGATTTGGATAGGTGTCGCTGGCGATGCCTTTATAAGTATCAGCAAAAGTAAATAACTTCTGGGCATGTTGAAGAAGTGAATCAGAATATGTAGTATCACTGGATTTGAAAACCATTGATGCTGCCGCCATGGCTGCTGCTGCCTCAGCAGCGATATCTGACCCAGGGTTCTTTGGGTTAATCTGTGTGAGCGGCCTTTTCTCGGTCATTGTTTCTGGCCTTTGCCAGCAGTCGTGATCTAGATCAGGATCACCAACCTACAAGGTAACAAACAATTTTTCAAAAGCTGGTTCAGTGGTTAAACGAAAAGACAATTGCGCTTCCCTTTGCTGTTCTGAAGTTATAAGAATGTTTTCAACGCCTGAAGCTGAAATTGGCTACCCAAATCATGCTGAAGCAATAAGGAGATTCAGTTGCCTAATTTATTAATGCTTAGATCTGATTTTACTGAATTGTCGCCTACACTGAATGATTTCAGTAATGATTTACCTTAGCCTACAAAACATTATTCTTCAGGGAAGAGATTGTTTATTGAGGATGTACTTCCTCCATTCACAAATATAAGATGTTTTGGATATTTCAATATGGACTACATGCGGACTGAAATGAGTGACCAAACACATTAAAATGTGTCTATATAGATCCGATTTAGAAAAAAAGTCAGAACATCTTATATTTGTGAACGGAGGGAGTACATTGTATTATATGCTTCTGCATGGCATGCAGTTTACACCCTGCCCAGTATGTTTGACTAAACTCGGTTGACTGAAACACTTGAGATCCCCCACCATCAAGGGTTAACTTTACATGGTTTTAAGTTTTAAAACTGTATAAGGTACAACTCAGATTCAGTTTTAAAAACATTTGTCTTGTGGTACCACATAATGAAGGAATGCAGCTATAAAGACAAAAGGAAAAATGTAAGGACGGGAAGGAAAGGAACATTGGGTTTGCCCTTGTCCAACAGTGCCAATGATCACACCAAATGTGTCATTTTGAACATATGAAGCAGACAACTAAGTGGCTCCTAAACATTAGGTGTCCTGAACATGACATCTCACCTTGACTCTTGTTTTCCTACCTTCCTACCTACCAAACTCTCACCTCTACTGAACTGCCATTAGATAGATTCAATGAAAATATACCCACAATCAAATTCCATTAACCAAACAGTCATTCTAACTCCCAAAATATACCTCAAACCATTTACCTACAGGCATCTAACCTGAATGTAGAACACGTTGTCAGTAGGATGAGCCGCGATGAGGAAATCCGTGACCCACCGGAGCGCGTCAAGCGCTGGGTCTAGCTGCTTGGCGGCGGTCATCTGATCCCCGTACTCGAGCACGGACCACGCGAGCACCGTCGCCGTGAACGCCATGGGGAAGGTGAACTTCATATGATCCCCGGCGTCGTACAGCCCCTTGGAGAGATCCAGCTTGGCTTCTTTCCCATCGTTGAGCGCAGAGTCGCCTCGCCACGGGATCTGGTTGTCGACCAGCTTCCCCGCTGCAGAACAGAACAGAGATCAACAAGATTTTCTCGGATGGATCATCGCTGAACATGCGCAGCATGGCATTAGAGTATGGGATTGACAAAGTAGCAGTCTCCAGTAGCTAAACGAGCAACACTGACATCAAATAACAACAAGTTTCACAGCCAGATGAGAAGATTTGAGTGGAATCTGAGAGCCAGCCCACATTGCTAGGTAAAAGAAGCATACAGCTTTTCACAGTAAGCGGAGAAGCTGTCCACTGAGAAATAAGTCAAAACCATGAGGAACTGGACACCCAAATTAGCAAGGAAAATCTAGCCGACAACAATTTCGGAGGCAACAGCCAGTACGAAATTGTCCAGCTACGTCCAGCAAAAAGAAAACACACCCGAGGCAAAGAGAGAATTGGCCTCTCCACCCACCATCGGGGAGAAGAGACGGCGCACGATACGAAAATGAATCTAGGCGCGCCGACGAAACCTCGATGCCCGGAGCAATGCTTCGGCGCGGGATCGCGGCGGCGGCGGCAATGCAGGGACAACTAAGCGGGGACGGCTAAGGCCAGCGGCGGAACTTTTACTCACCCTTCTGGACCTGGAAGAACTGGAGCGCGACCCCGAGCGCGTCGCCGTACTTGGAGTCGATGTCCCCGGGCGGGCCGGGGACGGGGAGCGGCTTGGGCGAGCGGCTCCGGCCCCCTCCGCCCCCGCCCGGCTTGCGCTTCATGATGGCCACCACGGCCGCCGTGGCGACCAGCGCCAGCACCAGCGCCACGATCAGCCAGCCGCAGCAGCCCTTGGTCCTCGACCCCATCTCTCCCTCCCTCCCTCCCTCCCTTCCTCCTATCGCATTCGCCGCCCGCTCAACACCTCCTCCGGCTGCTCGCGCGCGGAGAGAGAGAGAGAGCTAGGCTAGGCCGTTGCCGCTGCCGCTGCTGGAGCTGCGGTTAACTAGGCTCGCTCGCCGCGCGGCGGATGGGGGCGGGGCGGGTTGGTGGGGTGAGGTGAGGTGAGGTGGTGTG